AAAATCTGACCCAACACGCGAATTTATAGAATCTGTCCCGCGATCTCCGCTCGAGCGCCCAACAGCCCGCTCGAGCGGGCTTTAGCAAAATATGCGCGAAATATCACAGAGGTCCGCTCGAGCGCCAGAAATCCCGCTCGAGCGTGAAATCACACAACTCAGTACTTTTGCAGGCGACCAAAACTGCTGGAACCAGGAATTCTCCGCTCGAGCTCGATCCCCGTCATAATCAGCGAAGTGGCAATCTTGAAAGCTTTATCATCACAAACTTCTCTGAAATGCTTGATTCGGGTTGGATTCGCATCTAACAACTCATAACCTCACTGAAATAAAAATGCGAATAAAATTACAACTCAAAGGAGTTTTGTCAAACGGGAATGCCAAGAAATAAAACCTAACAATCTCCCTCTTTGGCAATGCCGTGACAAAACACACCTAACAAATAAAATCCTAAACACCCCAACCCATTACAGCCAACAAAAGCCAACTTCTTTCTCAAGATCATGATCTGCAAAACAGTTATTAGTGCCACAATCTCCAAAACAACTATTAGTCCCACAATAATATATGAAAAAGCAATAGACACATGACACGATTAACTTGTAACATGAGATGGAAAACATGAATAGATGAAAACTAAGACTCATGAACAACAACTCTCAAACAAACAAAGCAAGATCATAAACCACACAAACAATGATATGACGATGTAAATACCATGAACATACAAGAAGGGCAAATAGTGCATAGCAACATGCAAAACATATAGCCAATCTCCCTTACCAAACATAAAGTGTTCATGCTAAACAACTCTTGTAATGAAAAATCAAACTCCCTTACCAACCCAAATCAAGATGAACCAAACTCCCCCTCACTAAAAGCAACCACAAACACTAAAAACAGTGAGCAAGAAGAAGACGATAAAAATAATATGGTGGAGCAAGCAAGGAATTTCAGATTAGTACCTAAAAATACACAAGATTATCCAAGAAGCACCATTACAAGAAAACACAATGTGCGCAGCTTGTAGAAGATTCCTCATGAAAGAAAGTGATGCATTAAGTGAAAAGCATAGATCCCATAATAAAAAGTGTGTGTGTGACTCTTGGAGTTCGACAAACACTAGATTCAATCCTAGTAGTGATATGAAAGCTGGACCTCTGACAAGAGAATCTAAGCACAACTATAGAAAAGTCAAACCACTAGGAATCAAGGGGTACTTGGTGAGTAAAGGCGGAGGCTCCCCCTCAATCAATGAATCTTTTCCCTTCCTTTTTTATTCTTTTGCACATTTTTTTCCTTCTTTTGCATATTTTGTCTTCTTCTCTTCTCTTTTTTTTTCTTTTTCTTTTTCCCTTTTTTTTTCTTTTTCTTTTGCACAATCATTGGTGGCTGACACGCTCAAGAGTATGGAAACCAAACCAGAGAAGCATGGATATAATAAGGATGGCCTGGTTGGTGACTCTGAGGTAGCCTTTTCCTCATGGCTAGACTGCAAAGAATTAAGGGGAAAGCCATGGAGATGCAAAAGGATGGTAGGTGGTTAAGAGACTCAACATCACCCATGATATGCTAGTATAGGTCAATTCCTCTAGAAAAGCAAAAGATACAATGCCAGAAGTCCAAAAACAAATAATCACTAAGGCGGAAGACTCCAAAATTTGCTAATCCAAGAGTGTGTACAGAATGAGACATACTAATCAACGAACACACACTCCAAAATGAGTAATGACCACAGAAAGCACACACATATTAACATGTAATAGGTTTTCTCATCAATGCCAATATGTATCAAGGACCACTCAAAAATTTCAAGCTTGCAAAACCATACTAAGAAAATTTTTTTGGGATTTTTTATTTTTTTTTTAAAAATAAAGCATGACAAAAAAAATGAACAAGCACACATTTTTTTTTTTTATTAAAAAACAATACACAAAAATCCAAAAGCTAAAACAAATAAACAAATTAACACAAGTCAAGTTTTCTCACCCAAATCTTTTTGATCTTAACAAAATTAGGTCTAGCGGTCTTGGTAAATGTCGCGGTGTTGTGAACACCCTCATGAATCTTGGTATTCCACTTAGACATGTAAGGCTGTCTCCTAACCCAAAAAGTATTCGAATTTCTACCATTTTGAGACATTTTCCCATGCAACTTATAACAAAAAGGGCGAATATGACCATGCAAACCACAATGATGACAAACAAAAACAGGGTGTCCAGGGTGTACCTTCTTTTCTGTTACCTTACCAACTCTAGGAAGTTTGAGAAGTCCATCCATATGTTGAATTTTTTGTTCTTTCTTTCCTTGAGTTCTTGTATCATGAGATGTTGAAGCACTCTGCTTTTGCTCTCTCTTACCACCAAAGCCAATGCCACTCTTGTCACAATTCATTTGTTGAGACCCAATGATATCCTCCAAAGTCTTTGATCCTTTGTTCCAAAGACCAATGGTAGCCATAGCACACTTGAGCTCTTCCTCTTTCTTGATCATTAGTTCTTCCAAAGCAACTTGTAACATCTCGAGAGATTCAATCTTTTCTTCATACATGGCATGGGTTTGCAGCAGCTCATTCCTCTCTGTCTCACAAGTCAGCAGTTTTGCACAAAGAACTTGTCGATCATCAGCTACCTTGATGGCATTAATCCTGGCCTCGGAAATCTCCTCCTTAAGTTTGACATTCTCACTTTCACATGCTTTGAGTTTCTTTGTGAGTTTGTCATTCAATTTGAATAAATTAATAGACTCCTGATACAACTTTTCATAAGCTTGCTCAAGCTCTTCATGATCACTCTCTGAGGATTCATCATCAGTGATATTCTCGACTGACATCTTCGGAGAATCTGTTTGTCCTTCAGCTTCGGAAGCCGCCATGAAAGCCAGAAATTGTTTATGACCCTCTTCACCTTGATCTTCATTGTCACTTTCATCTTTATCAGATTCTGATTCATCATCCCAAGTGATAGCGAGGGCTTTCTTCTTCCTCAAACGAGTAGGGCATTCTGAAGCAAAGTGGCCAAATCCTTGGCATTCAGAGCATTGGAGTCTTTCAGAGTTCTCTTGTATTTTTCCTTTCTCCTTCTTGGCTACATGATTAATTTTGAGTTTATCTTTGCCTTTAGATTTATGAGAATGAGTAGATTCCAAAAGATTAGGATTCTTTTTCAAAAAAGATTTTTTAAATTGTTTAACAAAAGCAGCTATAATCTTGGAATCTATCTCGCAATCCTCATCAGAATCCTCTACCACTTTATGAGCACTACTATAAGCAATAGTATCTTTTTGTTTCTTTTTGAAATTCCTATGTGCTTCATAAGTTTGAAGGTTTCCAACCAACTGATCCAGCTTGAGGTTGTCAACATCTTGAGCCTCCTCAATAGCCGTAACTTTTGGTTGGAACCGATTGGGCAAGGATCTCAAAATTTTTCCCACAACTTTGGATTCTGGAATTTTTTCACCTAAATTGAAGCTGGAATTTACAATGTCACTCAACTTCGCATAAAAGTCATCAAAGGTCTCACTATCTTTCATTGAAAGGTTTTCGAAACTAGATGTGTGCCTTTGAAGTTTTGAGCGTTTAACTGAAGGAGTGCCCTCATGAATAGTTTGTAAGATATCCCAAGCCTCTTTTGCGACTTCACAATTACAAATACGACTAAATTCTTCAGGTGTGACAGCGCAAAAGAGAGAATTGATAGCTTTACTATTCCAATCCTATCTGTTTTGTATAAATAGTTAAAATTGGTGTTACAAATATAGAATTGAGTGAGTATTGAGATAGATGATGGGATTGAGTATTTAATGCTTCACTATCTTGGAAATTTTGGACAAATTATTTGTCTTGTGATTGTATGTCTGCTTAGAAATATCTATATTGAGCTATCGGTAAAGGATAGCTTTGCTTGTTGTAGAAATTGTATGTGAATTAGGTGAATTTAAACTAGTTCATGGTTGATTATCATTGAAAATGATTATGTTGTGAATACATTGTATATGTATGATTATTTGGGAGTGGAAAGGGGATGTACTCTATTGTTTGGGAGGAGAAAGGGAATGGAAAGAAGATTTAAAGGAATTACACAGGTATACTCTCAATTACCTAGCGAATCCACAACGCCTAATTGAACCAACCTCTATGTGCCTCTTCCAACCCCATCTTCACCACGGAATTGTCTTTCTGATGAGCCACTCCGGATTCCACCAAAGCTTCAGGCTCGAATTCTTCAGAATCCACAACTGAAGAATAACTCTCTCTTTTGTGTATAACAAACAAACCTTTGATGTACTCTCTTTAGATCATGAGTTGAATACTCAATAAAAACATCAAAGAAAACTCACAAAGTATCCCCAGATATGAATCCTAGAAACCAAAAAGAAGATCTGGAGTAGTTATCCTAAAATCTGACCCAACACGCGAATTTATAGAATATGTCCCGCGATCTCCGCTCGAGCGCCCAACAGCCCGCTCGAGCGGGCTTCAGCAAAATATGCGCGAAATATCACAGAGGTCGGCTCGAGCACCAGAAATCCCGCTCGAGCGCGAAATCACACAACTCAGTACTTTTGCAGGCGACCAAAACTGCTGGAACCAGGAATTCTCCGCTCGAGCGCGGGTATGTCCGCTCGAGCGGACAGGCAATTTTGAATGCATTTTTGCATTTTGCTTCGGGGGCGCTGCCCCTCGACCCCGCCGTGGTGCTGCCCCGGACCCGCCAAGGGGCGCTGCCCCCTGGACCCCCGCGAGCTGACCGGGCAGCTTGATCCCCGTCATAATCAGCGAAGTGGCAATCTTGAAAGCTTTATCATCACAAACTTCTCTGAAATGCTTGATTCGGGTTGGATTCGCATCTAACAACTCATAACCTCACTGAAATAAAAATGCGAATAAAATTACAACTCAAAGGAGTTTTGTCAAACGGGAATGCCAAGAAATAAAACCTAACAGATCGTGTCCGGGGTCATCAATATTTCCCAAGGACGTCAGAGATACCAATATAGATATGGTATACCAGAAGGCTCGAGGTCCACTATTGGGTTACCATCTATTGTTAATGATTCAACAACTCTTCACTGAAATCCTGCAACCAGTCCCTTCTGAAGTTGAAACAATGAGCATTAACAGGTTGAAAGGAATGGTTAAAGATTTTCTGCAACAAAGGAGGAACGTGGTTGTTTTCGATGATGTTTGGAAAGTTGATGTTTGGGATGCTGTCAAATCCATGCTGCCTGACAACAATTGTGGCAGTCGTGTCATTCTTACAACTTGTTTATCTGATATAGCTTCTAGTACCTATCACAATGAAACTAATGGTAATGTCTACACCTGGATGCCCTTCTCCACAGAGGAGTCTCGGATGCTTTTTTGCAACAAGACTTTTCAAGGGAACTTATGCTCTCCACACTCGAAGGAAATTTCCCATAAATTCTTTAAAAAATTTAATGAATTGCCACTTGCAATTGTCGCGATAAGTGGTGCTTTGGCTATAAAGGACCAGAGTAGAATAGACGAATGGGAAATGATTTATCGCAACCTTGGTGCTGAATTAGGGCAATGACAGACTAGAGAGCATGCAAAAAGCACTCTCTCTTAGTTACAACTATCGGCCTGATTATCTGAAGACTTGTTTCTTGAACTTGAGCATTTTCCCTGAGGGTCAACAGATAATGTGCAGTAAAGTAATTAGACTTTGGATAGCAGAAGGATTGTGAATGCTACCGAGAGTATGACTACAGAAGAAGTTGCAAACAATCACCTCAATGAGCTATTCAATAGGAGCCTGCTTCAAGTGGCACAAAGATTTGCATACGGAAGGCCTCAAAGTTCCACATTTTTGGGTTAGAATTTCAGCAAGTAAAAGATCCAATTTTAGCATTTAAAATATCAATAATCAATTTAGAATCTGTTGAAAAGTAAACTTGTGTTTTAATATTTTAGGAGTATCCTATATTTAGTTATGCTAATTATGGAGGAATAATGGCATGCATGTAATGGTGCATAATGGTGTGTTAAGGGACATTAGTAGTATGTTAATGTGTTAGTGGTTACAAAGATTAATATAATTAGTGGGTCTTAATGACAGTGTGTGAGTTACATGTTAGAATCTAATATATAGTCATGCAATCTATGCAATGAAATCAGAATGAGTAGAAGAATAAGAATGAGTATGCAATGATAATAATATGAGTGAAACACAAGAGTTGTATTTTTCCTTCTCCAATTCTCTTTCAAATTTGTGTGAGTGATTGTTGTGTGGCCAAGTTTATTTCTAACAAAATCTCCTTCAACGTGATTTTTTTGCTTATCGAAGTGTTAGCTTTCTAAAACCTCATTTTGATAGATGCCACTTGATATCCTCAGCAGTCTTGATAGTATTCATGTAATGGTGTCTTATAAATTTGGTTTCTAATTTAACATTGAATTTATTAAAAAACCAAAATAGAATTACTTGGAAGATGTGTCTGATATAACACAAGGTTCAGGTCTACTGAAAACACACAATCTATACATACATTCATATTAATAAACAATAAGTAACATCACATCTACAATACCAGACAACACACAGCCAATACATACATATTAATCAACAAGAAGTAAACATCATATCTCCAATACTGAAAATACACAACCACTACACATATTAATACTAGAACTAAAAAACCAGGTACCTTACAACGATTAACATAGTTATACGCCAATATCAGGAAAGTCCTTCTCTTCGGGCGCAAGGAGAACCTGTTCTGCCTGTGCATCCATTGCCTCATCCACAGTGTCTGTACTTGCTGCTGTCCTCTGTCTTTTCCGGGCTGCAATCTTTTTCTGGATCACCATCTTCCAGATAGGGCCAGTGTTAGCTGATTTGAGTCGCAGCATATCATAATCAAATTTGAAATCATCAACAAATTTAGCTGCATCTTTCTTAATCTGATCTTGGTTAGCCAGGACAACCATGTTACGATTGTCAGTATAACAATATCTATAACACAACTCAGATAAAATGGCCACAGCCAGTATGTTGCTTTTAGATTGCAGTTTTAGGAAATAACCCGGATCTACTATCCGAGCATATCTCCAAAATCTTGATGGAATAGAGCCTTGTTTGTGGCTTGGCCTGTCAAAACTCATGCATATTCTACCTATCTCATCAATACAATCTTCAGTTTCAGGTATTCGCAACCGTGCCAAAAACGGTCCTGTTGTCATCAGAGGCAATTTATGAATCACTTCAACAAACATCCGGTATGCACTCATCCCAGTGAGCTCTAGGTGATGTACAATCACAAACCTTAAAAGTCCCAACTTGGTTCGGTCCGAATCATATTGATATCGAGTGTCTGCATACGCAACATGATTAACCAAAGTGTTTTTAATGTCAACACACAAAGAGAGTCCATGTTTGATCACTGAAAGCTCACGAATTGAGGGTTCGAAAGACTCAACAGTGAAAGAGCTAGTTTTGTAAAAAGAGAAAAACCCCTTTGCAATACGATCCATTGATCTCATGTAGTTGTCTACAGACTTGGTTATCAATTTCATCAGATTGGCAGAGAGATAACAAGCTACTTTTGCACCCACATTATCATCATCGTCCTCTCGACCTTGATTTGCTTCGCGGCAGGGCTGAATTCTAGGTACCTTCCTGATGGGATTGGTCGATCGGAGCTTTGATTGGGAAGAGAGAGTGGAATTGGGATAATGGTCAGCCAATAATGGCAAACCATCTTCAGGGTTCGGCAAATGACAAGCCATAGACATGAGTAGATAGAGGGATTCTTCAGATATACCTTCCTTGATAGATTGTTGGACTTTCTTCCAATCTTGTAGGACAAGTGTTTGATCAGTGTAGGACTTGATTCGAACATACTCTTTCTTTAGGACATCCTCCAAATCGAAGTTCTTCTCGGTGAGTTTGGAGCTTTTATCTCTACTATTGGGATTGGAATTGGAACTGGAACTCGCAGTGGACATGTTATTTGTGAGATCAGAGTGTGTTTGTGTGGATGGGCGTTAAGGTGGTTTGGTGTGGTTGCATCTTTGTAGTCAGCCTTTCCCTTACGACTAAGTTTTGGTACAGAGAACACACACACACACACACACACAAAATTTTACAACATTACTTTTTTTTTTTTTTGATTGCTTTATTATTTGGGAAAATTGTAATGCCCTCAAAATAAACTCATAAATCATATATTCAAGACATCTATGAACTTAAGAGAATGAAACATAATTCTATTTATCAGAGTATTTATTACAAAAGTATTACATGTTGACATCAAAAGTAAATACCCTACGGGCTTATAACTTTCCAAGCTAACACTTGGTTACAAAAAGAGAGTACTAACTCAAAATACAAAATAAGCCCTTGACTTGATTTACATGTAATACACAAAATAATCACAAAAATGAAGCCTTCAACTTCTACAACCTCCCAAGCTAAGACTTTGGAGGCGGCATATCACCGCACCTGAAAATAATGCCCCATATAGGGTGAGCCAACACCCAGTAGAGATATGCTAAACATAATATGAGTAATAACTAAAACATGAGCATTTGATAAATGTTAACACTGGTCAACCAACTTACAGCACAATCCAATTCCATGACAAATATGTCCATGTTTCATTTTACTTTTGTAACGCCCTCAAAATAAACCCATTATATACATTTCATTGACATGCATTATTCAAAGAAAACAATTTATTAATTCATTCATCAGAGGATTACTAAACGAAAACATTACAGATAACATCAAATTAAATGCCCTACAGGCTTACATCTTTCCAAGCCAACACTTGGATACAAAAATATGAGTTCTAACTCAATACAAGAAAAGCCCTAGGCTTGAATGTTTACATGTACTAACAACCAAAAACAAACAACTAAAAAAAAATAGACTTCAGAATCCAAGTCCTTCAAAGCTAAGTCCTTGGAGGTAGCTTATCACCTGAACCTGAAAATGATGTTCCCATAAAGGGTGAGCCACAGCTCAGTAGAAATATACTAAACCAAATATAAGCAATGAATAAAGCAAAAGCATTCAACAGATGGTTAACCAAGATAATCAATTACAACATTATCCAGTCTCATGACACTATTGTTTTTATTCCACTTCCATTTTTATTCAATTTGCTTTTCTATTCAATTTCCTTCT